GCCCTCGCAAGGTGAGCAGGAACCCCGCCCGCTCCCCCCCTCACCAGGGCTCAGAGGTGTGGGGCTCCTTGCAGGACAGCACCACCAGGTCAGTGGCCCCCAGGACTGCCTTCCAGAACCCACTGGAGAGCGTTTAGCCAAGCTACCGCAGCCAGACTGTACCGGTCAGGAACCACACCTGTTTCCACCTGTGTGTGAGCTGCACCCTGACCTCCCAGCAACCCTGGGGGAGGTACTTTCCTGTTTTATGGATGAAGAAATGGAGACCCAGGAGGCCCTGGCTCACACCTCCCTAATAAACAGCAGAGCCAGCCTCAAGCGGGAGGGCCAGGCTTTCCTGCCAGACAGCGCTCCCAGGCCAGAGAGTGAGGCCTGGGGTCAGAACAGCGCAGCACCCAGGCCTGCAGATGGCAGCAGGCTGACTCGCCCGTGATGCCAGTGGGAGGGGGAGGGGGAGCATGGCCACAGTCCAGGACAGGGTGCTCAGGGGGTGCATCTAGGTCCAGATGTCCTCTCTGCCCAAGCTGCGACTTTAGGTGGAGGACTTACCCTTTCAGGGCCTTGATTTGCCCGCCCGCTGTCAAATGGGAACAGAGCCGGGACGTCCTCCAGGGCCGTGAGGCTCACAGGTTAAGGGCATGGGTCCACACGGCCAGTAAGTGGTGGTGCAGGGCCTGGGTTCCAGCTGGGGGACCCGAACCCCAGCTGGATGCAGGGCCCCTTCGCCGTGCTGCACTGTGCCTCTTGCCTGGGCAGCGAGGCCAGGCCAGGCTGAGCTCTGGGCTGTCCCTCTGCGGCTCTGACTAGAGGCCTCAGTGTCCCCTTCTGTGGGATGGGTGGGCACTCCGCTCTCTGCCTCGGGGGAAGGGTGAGGAACCGGGGCCGTGAGAAAGCCCTGTAGACTATGTGACGCTGCAGACAGGTTCTGGGGAAGGAGGCAGTAGCTATGAGGGTCTTCCGAGGGGTCTTCAGATTTTAGAACCCTAGACTTTGGGGGCCAGGGGACTTCCGAGTCGAGGCCTCCAGCTGTGAGGGGCACCTCTGCTGTAACTCACTGCCGAGAGGCTGGTGACCTCTGCGCACCTTCCTCAGAGCACCGGTGACTGGCACCTCGGCAGGCCGCCAGGCCCACCCTGGAAGGGCTCTACCCTAGGAGCCCAGGCCTGCTGCCCATCCTCCCCCTCACCTCCGTTTTTACGTGGTGCAGGGGAGGCTCGCCAGTGAGCCATATTTCGAGACGGAGGGTCTTCTCGAGGGACTGTCACCTACACTGCCACAACCCCTCCCGGGGGACGAGCTCTCCACGTGCTTGCTCTGCCACCCCTCCCCGAGCTCTGCAAGTCTCAGTCGCTGTCATGGCAACACCCAGAGCTGAGCACAGCTCCTGGGGGCTGCAGGCCACTCCTGCTTTTTGCAGTGGCTCGGACCCCTGTGGCTCAGCTGGCAGGCCCACGGGCCTGTCCTGAGGGCACGACTGACCAGGCCTCATGTGTCCCCATGTCCCGCAACCTTGGGTGACTGATGGTTTGCACACGCCCCCCACCCACCCCCGTGCTCAGCTGCAGCATGGTTGCCCCAGGGCCCGGTAGGTCCTGCAGGTTTTACTGCCCCCTCCCTCTTCACTGTCAGCCCCTACTATCTCCACCCTGCCCGGCTCCCTGACCTCACCTTCGCCCCCACGGGTGTCCCCCCCATACAGTGATCTTCCCAAAGTCCCTCAGATCACTCCCCGGGCCACACCGAAACGGTTTTCCGTGTCCCATAGCGAAGCCCGAGCCCCTTGGGTACTACAGAAGTTTGCGAAGGCTGTCCGCTTACCCTTCGTGAATGTTCTGGAACTGCGTCTTGCTTCCCAAGTGCGGGAGGAGCTGGTCCACAGGCACCAGGCACTCGCCAGGCCAGTCCTCCTGGATGGTGCTCTCGCTCTCCCCTCCAGCCTCTGCCCCATGTGGCACACCTGGGCTTGGGCCTGCCTGGAGCCCAGCCTCTGTGGGCCTCGCACTTCCTGTTCGGCCGCGCTCTCTGCGGCACCTCCCTCTGGCTCTCCCAGAGGTAACGCAGGACCCTTATCCCTCAGCCAATGACCCGCAGACCCCAGATGCCAGGGTCCGCACAGGGGGGCCTGCCGGGAGCCAGGACCCAGTCGGGGAGGCTCACGCACAGACGGAGCCCTTAACCTGCCCCTGTGCATGCTGGGAGAGCGTGAGGCACGCACCTGGCCGCCCACCTGCAGCTCCTCTCCCTGCAGCCCCTGGTGAGCTCCTTCCAGGAGGAGCAGGACGCAGGGCAGAAGAGACAAAGCCTGGTCAGGGTCGGAGCCCACTCAGGCGAAACGTGACCAGCCAGGGTGTCATGGGGTCTCACTGTCCCTGCTCGAACTGCTGGAAATGGGAGAGGGGCGTGTCTGAACAAGGCAGCCCCAGGCCTCCCTCAGAGGAGAGGGAAGGTCTTGATGACTACTGCCTGACGTGCACGCAGGGTGGAGGTTGGCCGCAGGTGCTTCTCCTGTCCAGCCCCGGCCCCTGCCCTGGCCCGTTTCTCTGCGTATCCCCAGCTCTCGGACGCACACCTGCCCTGTGCCTGCCATGGCCAACTGCCTGCCACTTTCCTCCACCGGCACTTGTGGCCGACCTCCAGGGCCGTCAGTAGCATGGCCACCGCCAAGGCAGAGGGCAGAACACGGGGGCTTGCAAGAGGCACATGTGATTCGCAGCCTTAAAGGCCTAGGGTTGCACGCCTCCCCTCCCCTAGCCTGGTCTCTCTGACCGGGAGCTGTGTCCAGGGAGAGATTTCCATGACGTGACAAATTATGGAAGGACAAGCTGGGGGCAGTTGGGGCCACTCTGGAGGTTCAGAAAGGACAGCGTTAGTTGCTCACTGTGACCTTCAGGCCATCGGGGCTCTGAGCCCATCTGGTGTGCAATGGGACACAGATGATCCCGGGATTAACCTGCAGAGTGAGCTGATGAGTCACGGGAGCCTTGGGAGGGGGCCAGGTCTTCCCGGAGTGGCTGTCGCTGGGTGGGGGTTGCGTGTGGGGCGTGGGCGACCCAGGAGGGCAGCACGCCAGCGCCAGGCTCAGCCCCAGCGCCGGAGGAGGAAGCAGCTCCCACAGGCCCAGCAGTTACGAGCAGGTCACAGTCGGACAATGCCAAGCAGCTTCTGTTTAGACTCGCTTCAGCACAAATCATTTTTAAAACCCGGACTGCAAAGTTCCAGGCTTTGGGGCCTGCCAAGTTCATGGTGCCCCTGCGTAGTCATTAAGACTTCCCTCCCAAATTTATTAGTCTTGACATGCGCCCATAACTTAAGAATGACAGCCCCTGGTGGGAGTGCCACAGGTTCCTCTGTTTATCACGAGCCTCGGTGTCCCCCACACTGCACCAGTGTCCAGAGGGACCACCAGAGCCGTGCGCCCGCCACCCGGCCTGGGCCCTTCCCCCTGCCAAGCAGCAGCGGGGGGAGCTGAGCTGGCTCTTGGCTTTGCCCTTGTGAGGCCTGCGTGTTCGTGGGGGCGGGGTGCCTCCAGTGTGTGTGTCTGACAGGGCCATGGGGAACCTGGGCACCTGGATTCCCCCAGGGCTGTAGGACTGGCCTAGGAGAGCCTCACAGCACCAATGGAAGCAACTGGGGGACATGGGTTCAAGACCCAGGTCTAGGTTTGCATCTTGCTTGAACAAGTTACTTAACCTCTCTGAGCTGGGCTGGCTTCTTAGATAAGTGTCCTGTGTGGTCCCACAGGGCCCTGAGTTTGGGGCCATGGTCTGCTATTGCCGTCTTACTGTGCTTGATATTTTTTGAGGTAGGGACCTATAAATGGCGGATTTTCTTCTACCTCTGAGCCCCGCTGTTCCCAAACGAGAAATATGGCAGAAGCCCTTCGCTGGGAAGGACGAGGCCTGCTACCTAGCAAGCACTCACTGAGCCGCTGGCCACAGTTCAGGGGTGGGAGCCCCCCAAGTGAGATCAGGGTCTCCCTGGGCTCCAGCCTGCCCCCAGTCCGCCACCACATGGGAGCCAGGTTGGCTGTCCCGCAGTGGCCCGGCCCGCTGACTCACCATTTCCCTCCACCTCTGCCTCCCTGGGCAGGTTGGGGGGCCCCGCCCGAAGGCAGAGCCACATAAGGAGCGTTGCCACGCTGCACTTGAAGGGCTTCAGAAGGATTAGGCAGGTTGGGTTTGCAAAGTGCTCACACCCCAGAAGAAAGGCGCCGGGCTAGCCCTTGCCACAGAAACCACCTGAGACTTCGGGTCCAGGGGTCAGGAAGGTGAGAGGCCCCGGGCTAGCTGTTCATTATCTCCTGGAGTTTTCACAGCTCACCAGGGCAGGCGTTGGGTATTCCCGTTTCTTAGGTGAGTAAGCGGTGGCTCCAGAGTGCCTGAGACCCTGCAGAGCTGGGGCTGGCGCCCGCCCAGGTCTGCTTCATTTTGAGACCTGTGTTTGTACCCGCTCTTTTTTTGCTCTTCCGTCCAGGGTCTCCGCGGCTGGCACAGCTCAGTCCCCTGTGAGGTGGTTCCGACTGCCTCTAGGGCTCCTCGGTGTGAACCAGAGTAAGGCCTGGGGACTAGGGGCTTTCTTAGTGGGAAGGTGGGCCCACATGAGGCCTCGCCTGCCTCCCTCAGCCCCAGGCTTCCGGGCACGCAGGTTACCAGGCCGGCTGGAAAGGACAGGAGGGTGAGTGGGCTCCCGCGGGACAGCACAGGGAGCAGAGTGTCTGGTGGGAGGTCAGCCAGGCTACCCTCGTGGCACCTGGATGTGGCTCCTGCCCTCAGATGCACCCCTGTGTGTGTGGACAGAACCCCAGCCGACGTGGTTGTTCTGGGGGAAGGGGACCCACACGCCTGCGTGAAGCAGGTTGCCCTGGTGGGGAAGTCTGAGCAGGCCTCACCCTGACTGTGTCTTCAAGCCCACTCTGGGACCCCTTTTTGAGTGCAGGGAGGGACAGGGGAACAAGAACAGCCTGAAGTGGCCTCCGGCAGCCACCATGGGAGCAGGCATGTCCAGGGAGTGAGCCCACTCGTTAAACCAAGGCAGGACAAGAGTCCAGAGGAGAAACCGGGAGATCCGACCCATGGCTGGACACAGGACCACAGCAGAGGGCTCAGGCCCCTGGCTGGCCACAGACTGGCCTGTGGCAAGGAGAGGTGGTGAGCGCCAGGAGCGTCCAGAATCCCAGGCTGGGTGGGTTGGGGGATCGGTCACTAAGGTCAAGGGTACTATCTGGGACATGCTGAGTCAGAGGGAGCCAGAACTCACCCAGCAGCTGTCTGGGACAGTCACGTGAGCACAAGGCAGCAACGGCCTGACCCAGCCGCGCCCCTGCAGCAAGGAGAGCAGGGGAGCTGCTGTCCACACCTGGCGGGTATGCAGCTGCCTTAGCGACCGTCATGCCAGACCACGGGAAGGCCCCGAGTGTTGAGTAATCGTGGCCGTGCGGGGCAGCGGGGAGGATACAGATCAGTGTGGAGGTGCAGAGCCCTCGAACCCTTGACTGGAGCCGTGATGGGCGGACGTGAACACTGTCTCCCTCCCTGTTCCCCGCCTTGCAGGTCACCCTGGCCCACAGGGAAACCTTTGGTGTAGGAAGGTCAGGAAGGTGGAGGACCAACAGGGGCTTCCAGGGAAGACTTCTCGGGAGGGCTGTGACTGACTTTTAAATGCCGGAAGGTCTGTCACATAGACTGTGGGTAGAAAGGGGCTTATCCTTGGCTCAGGAGCCTCAAGCTCCGCACACAGTAGGTGCTTCCAGATGAAATGGAGAATGACTGCTTGGCCAAGGATCTTCTGGCCCCGGAGTGCCCTGGCTGTGCTCTGGGACTCCTGGCCTCCACACCGGCTCAGGCTCGGGCACACAGGGACCCCATGGAGCAGACAGAGGAGACGCTGCCCAACAGGGTTACCGAGAGGCTCGGCAAAGGGGCTGCAGCGCCGTTCCCGTGTGCCACTGTGGAGGAGAGGGCCCGTCAGGCAGGCTGCACTTCCACTCTGCGGTGACCACCACCTTTGGGACCTCAGAGTGCTCTAGCCCAGCCCTATCTCCCATCTGCAAAGGCTTTGTCAGCGCCCGGGGTGCACATGAAGAAACTGAGACCCAGGGAGGGCTGTGACCTGCTCCAGCTCCCCGGGCAGGCCAGCGGCAGACCAGCACAGGACCCCAGGCCTGGGATTTTGGCATGCATCCCCCTCCCCACTCCCCCCCC